ACACCAGTACCACCACCGCCGAACACCAGCCAGCAGCAAGGCACCAACCAACACGCACCGAGCAGCAGGCAGCCAGCGGCACCGACCACTCACTTCAAGCAGCTAGCAGCAGCTCCACCACCACCAGCTAGCAGCAGCACCACACCACCCAGCGAGGCAGCAGCAGCACCAGCAACCACGCACCAGCAGCAGCAGTAATATACAGCAAGGCAGTACGTGTATAACAGCAGCAACTCATCATCAAGGCAGGGCAGCAGGCAGTACAGGAATACTAACAGCAAGCGCAGTGGCAGTAGTATAACAGCAGCAGCAGCAGTATGCTGTGGCTGCCGCGCGATGGCGCACCAACCATGGCGGCCCGCATTACCGAGGGAAATTAGACTTATACGGCGCGGGGTATGCTCTCTAATTATAATAAACAAAGCCCCCGGCGAGGCCGCCCCCCAGCTGTCGATGCATTCTTGTTGTACGTGCGCGCCCGGCGGGTCATTATGACTCCCTCCCTCTCCCCACCCCACCCCGCGGGGGGCGCGTCAGACTGCCCTTCCCCGACCGCGAGCCCAAAGCCCCGGTCCCGTCAGATGCCTCCGCTTTACCAAGACCCCCCCCCGGGGCCGTCAGACCTGCCCTCTATCTAGCTCTACTTCGGGGCCCGTCAGATCGCTCTCCCCTTTAGCCCTCAGCGCACCCCCGGGGGCCAGCCAGACCCCCCTTTACCCAGCCCTACCTCAGGCGGTTCCAATTCAGATCCGCGCGTCCCTCCACCCGAGCCCTCCTCCGGGGGCTCGTCAAGTCCCTCCTCCACCCATCCACTCCCCGGGTCCGTATGGCTTTATCTGCGCCTACATATATAAGTACACAGCTCGCGCATGGTGTGCATTTCTTGTTTGCTTCGCCTCATGACAAGTTTGCCGCTCGAATGAGAAACGAGCGAGAAAATTCCATTTCTAGCGCCTTGGGTGCGCGTGCGATAGCGAGTCCAATCTCGCGGTGGGAGCGGATTGAGCTGTTAGAGAAGCTGGAGGGGATCTGCAAACTTCTGCCGGTTTGTTAGTCGCGGCGTTACCAACGTTTGGATGGCGTATCGCTGCCTACGAGTGCGTGTGTGTGCGTTGCGTGCGGTGCGTGGCGTGCGTGTGCGTGTGCCTGCGCTGTGCGGGTGCGTTGGTGGTATGGCGTGCTGTGCGTGCCGTGCGGTGTGCGTGGCCATGTCGTGCGTGTCGTGCGTGTGCGTGCGTGTGCCAGTCTGCGCGCTGCGAATCTACCACTCACTTCGTAAGACTACAAACAGCGTCATTCACACATGATGTGATGCTACCGAACTGCCTTACAACTACCAGCTTTATTCGTCACCGTTGTGGGAGGCTTCACTATGATATATAGTATATATATATATATTATATATATATATATATACACTATGTTAGACGTTGTGTTGGTGGGGCAGGGTGCGACACATGTTACGTTGCAAGTATACGCGACTGTGTCATTGTTTCCATTCTGTTCCAATGTGCTATGCATTTTGCTCACCGATTACCGACGTCTTCTATATGTTGTCTTTACACGCCGGCCGTGTTCCATTTGTACATGTTGGTTTTACGCTCGCGGCGCACACACGGCTGCTTGACACGCGTGTTGTCGTTGTGTGCAGGCACGTTATGTGTTATACTGTCCGCTGCAGCTGTCGTGTCACGTGTTGTCGTTGTGTGGCAGGCACGTTATGTGTTACGTACTGTCTCTGCACCGGCCGTGACACGTGTTGTCGGTTGTGTGCAGGCACGTAATGTGTTATACTGTGCTGCTCGCGGCCGTGACACGTGTTGTCGTTGTGTGCAGGCACGTTATGGTTATACTGTGCTGCACCGCTCCGTGACACGTGTTGTCGTTGTGTGCAGGCGCAGCTACGTTATGTGTTACTTACTGTCCTGCGCCGGCCGTGTCACATCGTCGATATATCGATGCAGGCAATGTACGTGGTGGGAACTATCACAGGTGAACCTACCCCCCCCCCCACGCGCGCTGTTTATGCTGCGTGGTCGTGTCGCGCTCCCCTTACCAAAATATCCTATAGAATTGTATAGAAAACATTTTCTATATATTTTCTTTTTATATACACTATATAGAATATTTTCCTAAGGGTCACGCTCTCCGTGAGTTTCCGTGAGTAATTGCACTGCAATGCAAATAGAAGGAGGAGGAATCGGTACTCACTCGTCTGGGTCCGTCTCCAGCTGGGCATCGTGGTCTCCGGCGAGGAACGCCGCCTCGCTGTCGGACTGCTCATCCAACGTAAACGTCGGGCTGGCGAACTCCGGCGGCGTCAGGTGCTGCGTGGGGCTGTGCGGCGCCGACCGACCGCCGCGCTCGCTAGGTGGCAACGGCGTCGTACGGCGCGGCGGCTCGGCGGCGCCATCGTCCTGCGCGCCGACGTGGAACCAGTTGAAGAGACTGTATCGGCTGCCGCGCGGTTTCTCGCTGCTGGCGCCCTCTGGCGGCGCCGCGAGCGCCCCCTGGGACGGCTCGTGCCGCGCGTGCTGCGCCGCCAGCGCCGCCTGGCTGCGGCGTCGCTGTCGCTCGAGCGTCGACTCCATCTGGCGGGAGGCGCGGCGCACGCTCGGCGGCGGGCCGAAGCCCTGCTCGCCGTAGGCGTGGCTGTGTCGGCGCGCCGTCGGGATGCCGACGCCGCGGCCCATCGGCGCGCCGGGCACGCCGAGTCCGTGCGACTGGAACCTCATGCTGGCGACGACCGTGCTGAAAACGCCACCTGACGGCGAGCGCGGCGCAACGTTGGCGACGGTCGTGGCGTCACCTGGCGGAGGCTGCGGCGGCGGGACGACGTTGACGATGGCGGGAGTAGCATCGCTTCTTCACAGGGTCGCGCATGCGCAACGCGCACACGATAATGAGAGTGGCCGATCCACAACGTGTGACGCGGGCACACACGCCGAAGCACCACAGAACACCGCCTCTACTACTAGCACTGATACTATTATATATATATATATATATATATATAAATATACACTATGTTTAGACGTTGTGTTGGTGGGCAGGTGCGACACATGTTACCGTTGCAGTATACCGACTGTGTCATGTGTTTCCATTCTGTTCCAATGTGCTATGCATTTGCTCACGATTCCGACGTCTTCTATATGTTGTCTTTACACGCCGGCCGTGTTACATGTTGTACATGTTGGTTTTACGCATCGCGGCGCACACCGGCTGCTTGACACGTGTTGTCGTTGTGTGCAGGCACGTTATGTGTTATACTGTCCTGCAGCTGTCGTGTCACGTGTTGTCGTTGTGTGCAGGCACGTTATGTGTTACGTACTGTCCTGCACCGGCCGTGACACGTGTTGTCGTTGTGTGCAGGCACGTTATGTGTTATACTGTGCTGCACCGGCCGTGACACGTGTTGTCGTTGTGTGCAGGCACGTAATGTGTTATACTGTGCTGCACCGGCCGTGACACGTGTTGTCGTTGTGTGCAGGCACGTTATGGGTTATACTGTGCTGCACCGGCC